CTCTTTAGCTTGCCAACATCCGCTGGTCTGAACAAAAATTGTCGGTTCAAGTTGCTCTTCTCGATTTGATCGTTGTCAGTGACAGTGATCTTGCCATCAGGGCCAGTGCCAAGACCCATCATCGCCCAGTTCTTCAACATCTCGCAGCCAATGGCACCCGCACCAACGAGGAACTGCTTGACGTTGCTGAGCTTCTTCTGGTATTCCTGTCCCAATACAGCGATTTGACCGTCGTAGCGCGAGCCAATCGGAGCACACTGCTCTTCCGAACGGGTCGTGGAGGTAGGGATCGACTCTAGCGAATCGAAGTAGAGGAACTGAACGATGGGATGGAACTTTCCAGACACTGACTTCAAGACTTCCTGAGCAGCCATGCCACCGAAGAAGGCAGCGACGGGACTGAGGTCACCACGAGCCTGGTAACTGAGCTCCTTGATGAGCTTCTCATCCAGCTCGACCTTCTCCTCGCCCTCATTTGCGATTTCTTGTGCAATCTTGAGGAGCTCATCCGCATCGGCTTCATGGTGAGGACGTGGGAACTCGCCCTTGTGGAGGTTCGCAAACTTGTGGATGGCCTGGATACCAACGTGGAGCTGCTGTGGTCGGTCGAACTTTGCGAAGTCGGAGATGAGAAGCTCGGGCTTCTTGAGCTGCTTGCTGAAGGGCTCGAAGTCGATGATCTTGGGCATCTTGACCTGGATGAACTGTCCTCCCTTCTTGTACTCTCCGAGGCCAGATACATCGCCAATGGAGAAGGTGTAAGGCCCCTTCACCTCGATCTTGCGAGGCGCACAGCCGTTGAGGCCCTCCATACCCTCAACTTCTGAGAATGTGACCCAGTCGCCATCCTCCAGGCCGTGTCTTGTCTCGTCTAGTGCCGACACAATACCCTCCTCATCAATGCCAGCAATAATGCCGTTGTTGACATTCTCGCCAGTCGGATCACCGATGGTGAAGTTCTTTCCGAAATCGGTGAAGATAGTACCGAACAGTCCGTATGTGTCGGTAATGACTACGTAAATGCCGTTGTCGTGGCAGTAGTCTGCGATCTTGATTTGATCTTCGAGGCGAGTGTCGGTAAGGACAATGACCTGGAACTGCTTCAACTGCGACAAGTCTGATGTCAAATCTCCTCCGCTGAATTCCTGCACAGGTGTGTATGGGTTGAGTTCGGAGACTCGCGGTACGGTGACGGAGGCGCGTGGCTTCCCCACATCGGCGGGAGTGAGGAAGAACTGCGACGACAGGTCGGCGAGAGCGGCGGGCTTAGGATCGTAGAGTGTCAGTGACTTGACACCGGCTAGGGCGATGTTCTTCGCAATTTCGACACCGAGACCTCGCAGACCAGCAACGAGGACGTTGGAAGAGCCCATGCGCTTCATAGCCTCATGGCCCAGGACATACAGCTGCCTACTGTAGAGGGACTCATCGATGTCGCCGTTGTTACCGGACGCTTCCTTGAGCTGTTCGACGGCAGTGGCAGGGCTATCGACCTGCATGTTTTCCTTGGATATGTTAGATTTGGACGCAGAAGTGTGAAGTTAGTGAAAGGTGTAGAGTGGCGGAGACGCTGGAGACGCCGAGTACATGGTTGCAAATGCGGACGCGCAACCGAACAAAGCGCAAGTTAGTAATCAATGGGGCGCACTTACCGCCATGGCTTTCTCTTTCTTGCTGGGACGAGCGTCCTCGTCGACGTGTTTCCGCTTCCCCAGTTTGCCGACGGTCGTGAAGGCTGGACGCTGTCAAATGTGGCGGTCGCGGGCGCCTGGCTCGAGTGTCGCGGGGTACCCAGGTGTAGACTGTTGTTTACGGATATGAAGAAGGACAAACGAGATCAACAGGTTTGTCGCTGCAGTGGGTTGAGTGTGGGGTTGTAAATGGAAGGAAGGCAAGGGTGGAAGGCGCAGCAGGGAGGAGGTTATTACGTGAGTACTTGTCACGGCGAAGGTGCTGGAGCTCCACCTAGCGCCATCCCACTTAAATCTTGGCGCAATCGTCACTTCCGCATGGGCCTCGAATCCGCTCCTTCACCCCATACCGGTTACACATCAACCACCTTGCAGTCTACGTTAGTGTGAAAACGAAAGTTCGCAAACTCCTGAGGGTGATATAGACTCTTGGGAGATTAATTTCTACAGTCTGCTGAAGGCAGATTTCACCCCTTCAACCATGGGCCCGCTTTAGATTTCGACGCGACTGCGTACTTTCATTCACAAGGTATGACGTCCCCATTGATTCCGACTGCCCGTGAAACGCACCTCACATCGCCAACATCAAATCATGATGTTTACCAAAGGGTCACTTCTGGTTTGACGTCTCCGAGCCTTGCGTCGGTCAGCTCCGCCACACTATTCCAAGGAAGGCGCAACGATACCTAGGCACTGGCAGCTGTCGCATTTTAGATGGTATATCTTCTTCGATCGCTTCATTGCTCTACTTTTCTTATCAGTCTATGCAATTCCGAATAAGCTTATCATAATACTCACGGTATGCTTGTCGGAAACGCCGTTGTTGCCAAAGAGACACCAGCCCAACGGCAAGTTGGAGCAGACCAAACACGATGGCTGCGATGGTGTCCGCAGACTGGTTGTTCAAAGACATGAGTGCGTAAGATCAACAAGAAATCTCCTCAAGAGTAACGAAGCCCGCGAGTGTCTGTCGCCATGGGAGAGTGAGGGCCCATCTCCTACCTTATGTATACTTCGATATTGTACTTTTGAGTGCGCGGTTCTCGGAAATCCTGCGAAACCGCAGCGGTCAGGACCTAACAGCATGTCAGTTCCGGAGCACCTAGCTGTTTTGTACTTTTGCATGTGCCGTAGCTCAGGCGTCGAACATACAAATTTGTACTTTTGCTGACGAGAGTTTAATTGGCTCGGTGTTCCACCAGTCGTGCAGAGAGGCGTTTTCTATGCGCATGCGACCAGCGTGGCTCGCAGGAATTGTACTTTTGTCGCAGCCAATAGCATTCAACTGCAGCTCAGCCTAGCCTGGCTCACATAAAACCCACCGCCAGAGTCCACCATTTACTCATGAGTATATAAGGTGACGCTTCCTCTCTTTTCTCTACATTGATGGAATACTGAAGGGCCTTTCTAGTCAATATTTCCTACTCGAGCATTACCTCTGGGCGATACGCATTCCCCTTCTTTGTCTTTCGAAAATCTATAATACCATGGATCTCGACTGGCACCTGATGCCAATTTCTGAGGAGGACGTCACATCATCGCAGCCTCCTCCTTTGCATCCGAGTCATGTCGCAGATACACGTCCACGAAAGAAGAAAGCGCGAACTCTCCGCGAGACTGACTGGAATCCATACAAAGAAAGGATAATACAATTACATCATTTCGAAAAGAGGTCGCTCCCGGAAGTCAGGATCTTGATAGAACAGGAGTTCGGTTTTACTGCTGAGTATGTTGGGCAAGCCGCTCTTCCATCACTCCCAGGTGTCTAGGCTAACTGACTTCCCAGAATACGCCAATACAGATCTCGCTTGACTCAATGGAAGCTTGACAAGAACATAAAACCAGACGAGATGGAGGCAATCGTCAGACATCGCCAACAACGATACCTTATTGAGACGAGCAAGCCTGCTCTCAGATTCCGCGTAAGAGGTCAGGTAGTCGAACCACAGAAAATCGAAAGGTGGATGAAGAGACACGACATCGTAGAGAGCACTATGCATGCCCTAAGCCCTGTCGCTGGTAAGTTATGTTTTGGGGACAATACCAGCTCCACGATGGTAACGAATTGTAGCAACGCCTTCTGCCGTGAGTTATGCGACGATGTCCGAGATTGGCTCTCCTAGAGTACATTCGATACTTTCTCCTAGCATCATGCATGATGTCGATATGACAGTCGAACATACTCCCACCACGCCTCGACAGAGCATCAGCAGCTCGCCGACTACACCGCGCCAGCATATGAACAACGCATTTGAAGTACCAAGATCGATTAGCGCCAATACACCGCCTGGCCTTCATGTGGTTAAAGTTGATCACGAACATCTCTTCGCACGATGGGGATATAAGTTGGAGCATCATGACTTCGGCACGAGGAAGGCAAGCGACTGGCGCCAATTTATGGGTACGCAATGGCTTCGGGATCTACGGCCAGAATTGACATTCGCGCTGGTATCAGAGCGTGCAGCGATCACTGTGTGCAGATACATCATACAGGCATACATCTGCGTTAACGCACCTGATTCACCGGCGATGACCCTACGCGACGACTGGTCACTGGAGATCGATCTGATTATCTACATCTATCACAACCCCCAAACTAAAACCGTCTGTGTCAGATTCATGGCTGAAGGTACGCAAAGACAAGATTTAGAAGATCGTGTGATGGGTTTCGAGCTTGATACAGGCCGCAGAGTGCAGACGATCAGGTTTTCTCCCTTGGAATCCTGGATTGATACAGGTAACTATTTCACCGAGCTGCTGGAATGGCATTGGTTATTCATCAAATGGTCCGAACTACAGCCCTTCACATGGCCCTCCAATGACGAAGACGTACAAAGAGTGCAATCTCTCAAATCTCGTTTGGGTCATGGCGCGAATAGGGTAACATTGTTGTGACAGATTCACCATGAAGCCTTCAATAACAATGTTGGAAACCCAATGTAATATTCACAGTTCCTCTTAATTTCATGTCCATGTCCATATCCATTGCATTCATATACATCTTCCCCAGCATCCCCGTTCCATATCTCATACCCACGCATACGCATATCCTCATTAATCGCATACGTCGAAATAGTAAAAAGTCGAAAACCAAAAAGGACATAACACATTCGTCGCTTCGCAGTCGTGAGCGAGCTCGCCTCAAACGCCCAAGTAACGCCAGTAGGGCTGACTTTGTCGAAGCCCATGTACCCACTGAGATAAAAACCACCCATGCCATAAGGTACTAGCACGAGGCTAGACACAAGAACTAGAAAGCAAAAAAGACTTTGTACAGTTTTGGAAAGAGATCGGTCGGTGGTCATCCGACTATCGTCTCGATGAGTGGCGTGTTCGGCGTGTATGGCGATCTGATGAACTTGCGCTGCCTGGGTGGTTGTTAGCACCTGTCTTCCTGAGTGAAATGCAAAATCGGGTTACTTACTCGAACTTGTGTAGTCGCTGTACATGTATGATGTTCCACTGACAGTGGTGCTCTTATCGTCGACCTTGTTGTCGTGTCTCCTCTTGAGACCCAACGCAAGCGCGAGACCACCTAGTCCAGCAGCGAGACCCAGACCCTTCTTGCCGGTGCTGTGCTTCTCAGAGCCGGCGCGCGAAGGACGAGCAGGGCGGCCACCTCCGTACCAGGTGCGTCCGCCAGCAGCGCCGCCGCTGTGGTGGTGCTCTTCGATGTAGGTCTCCTCGTGAGTGTGCTTGCGCTTCTTGCCGAAGCCGAAGATGGCGAGGAGCGTGTCGAAAAGGGCGCGAGCGCAGCAGAAGAGACAGAGAAGGAGGAGCAGCAATATACCAAGGATAACACCGATAACGATACCGGCAATGGCACCGCCACTGAGTCCGCCGTTGCTCTCTTCAGTTGCGACGAGGCCGCCGCCTGCTGCGCCGGTGGGGATGGGTGTCTGGAAGGGCTGGGTCGCGGTCGGGGTGCCGGTGTAGGTAACGACTACGACGCCTGAGCTAGTTGGACGAAGAGGGGCACCGGGTGTGATACCTCCAGAGCTGCCGCCAGCAATCATCGCACACTGGCCGGCCTTCAGACAGTACATGCCAGAGTCGCAGCAGATTCCGCCGCAGGGGTTTTGCGAGTCGCTGCATGTGGCTGTCGCTGTCGCTGGTATGTAGGTGCTGCGCGTCTCGGTCTTGGTGAGAAGACCGACAGTCTCGACGTAGGTAGTCGTGTAGTATTCATAGTAGCCGCCTGCCGCTTCCGTGTTGGCACCACCGCCGCTGGTGTCGCATTGCGCCTGGTTGGCACTGTCGGTATAGCATTTTGCGCCTGAAGGACAGCACAACCAGCCGCCGAAACCGCAGGGGTTGGCGCAGTCTTGCTTCTTGATCAGCTGGGAGCTGTTGTGCAGCGAGGCGAACTCGTCAAAGTGGACGGGGTAGGGCTTTGCGAGAGCCGAGGGCAGGTAGGCGAAGGCGATCAGGCCGAGCACGGCGGGAGGAGCGTTGAGAAGCCACATGGTAAAGCGAGCGACTGAGCCTCTCCAAACGCAGCAGAGCAGCGAGGTTTACTGCGAACGGAATAGACAGGACCGTTTGCAGGAATTGGGGGGAAACGACAGAAGAAGCGCGCTGCAATTCGTAGATATCGTCCAGTCGGCGTGGGAGCGGTGAATGGGTGGGTATCGCTGCTGCGGGGTCGATCCGTTGGCTAGCGCGTCTTTCGTGTCTGCTGGCGTGCGTGACTGGTGCCGGCGTGGTACAGGATGCGAACCACGGAAAAGAGTCAGCGATGATTGAACTTGGGTATGGAAGTGAGAGGAAGGTGGTAGGATGTGTGTAATCGTGCAGGAGGAGGTGTGCAAGTAAAAAGGGTACACTTAGAATAATCGTGTGGTTGGAAGCCGCGGGAGAGGCTGGGGTGGTTGGGGACCTTCCAACTCCAACTTCAACAACACCGGGGTTATGCGCTTGCGGGATTTTTGAAACTTGGCTAGACGCGGTAGTGGGAACAGAAGTCGTGTCGTTTTCGTGATGTCAATGACTTCGCTATTCGTGAGGATGTGTGCTGTCTCACGATGATTCTACGGGGTGTCGTACACAGTGATGCTCAGCGCTCGCTCCGCCTCCCGTTCACCCAGCAACGTCCGTCGCGCCATCACCTGGCCATCCTCCTCGTCTCCGCGCACGTTCACCACCACCACTCGTCATAGCAATTTCCCCCAGAAGGATATGCCCGTGTTGGCCCAAGCTAGATGCTTGGCCTTGGGCGGTAGTTCCTCAATCATTCTTCCTCGCGCACTTTGCTGGTTCTGCCCATGCAGCCTGCGACGTCGTGCAGTGGTTTGCCTTAGCTGCGAATAGCTTCTTGGTATTTCTATCGTCTTTCCGCAACATCCGGAGAACTATCAACTTGTCGTTTTGGGAGTAGATTCTAGACTCGAGAGTTCCGGCCGGCTATAAATATCATCCGGTACCTGCAGGGCGCGTGTGATGTGTGGGCCGCCTGCTACGCTGTCAATGGGGCCTTGCGTGCCGCACATGCCAATCACTACACCGTAAGTCGACAACAGGTACAAGCTGTGACATTCAACACTACCGAGGATGGAAGGTCACTTCTGACAGACATTGACAACTGGCACTTTCTTTGCCGACAGCTCTGCCACGTCTACCAGAAGATCTTCTCAGCCCTCCCTGTCCAGCCCATACTCTTGGACCATCTTCTCCGCAGCCTTTTGCGCAATTAAATAGGCCGTAGCCTGCGAGTGGTTGTTCGTCACGACCGGCGCAACACTCATATCAACAACTCTCAGGCCCTCCACTCCTCGAACCCTGAAGTTTTTGTCCACAACTGCCTCTTCATCACCTTCCTTACCCATCTTGCACGTCCCGCAAGCATGCCACACGGTACCCGCATTCTCGCTCGCAAACCGATCTACATCTGCGTCTCCCATGGAGTCAGGGCCTAGAACCGTGCGCACGATATGCGGCGCGATAGTAGGGTTACCTGTCAGCTTCTTCCATGTGCTGCGGATAGCTTCGCGGAAGATGCGGACGTCGTAGGGATGCGTAAGGTAGTTCAACGTGATGATTGGCTTGTCAGATGCGTCTCTTGACCGCAGGGTGATCGAGCCGCTAGATTGCGGATTCATGAGAAAAGCGATGAAAGTCATGTATGTGTTTCCTGCATCCAATTGTGTACCCGGTGGCCACAGTATCGAGTTGTTGATGAACTCGTACGCTGGGACTTGGTCTCTGCAAAGAAATTCTTGGAGGTCTGGCGGAAGCGCAGAGTACTCTTCATACGATTGTAAATCTGGCAGTTTGAGGAAGCCGCCCCAGAGCGACGAGTGCTGTAGAGCGAAAGCACCGGTCTGGTCTTTGGTCCAGGACTCTTGGGCTGCGGCGATGAGATCGGGATTGCTATCAAAGGCGTATTTGTCGTTGATTGAGCCAGAGACTTCTACCGTCATGAAAGTGAGAACGTGGTCTTTCAGGTGCTTGCCTACGCTGGGTAAGTCGACTTTGACATCGATGCCGAGAGCTTCCAGATCGGATTTTGGTCCGATGCCATTGAGAAGTAAGAGCTTAGGTGAGTCGATCGAGCCACCGCAGATAATGACTTCGTTGTTTGCCGTCGCTGGGGTCCTGTCAGTGCTCATTACGTCTCCCGTCGATCCAGATAGTGCACCTACCTTGCCGCCCATCTTCAAGAACGACTCCGGTGACCTTCTTCCCCTCCCATACGAACTTCTCTGCTTTCGCATCTGTCCATATCTCAAGGTTGCTCGGCGGGTCCATAAGATGCGCGATCGCACTGGTACTTCTCCCGTCTTTACTATAGCTATGCGGAAAGACCATTATGCCCACCGGACTTCCCGAATTAGCATCAAGAACGATCTTCTCCCCAGCCGCAGCCAGCGCCTCCATCTGCGGCACCACGCCCTTCTCGAGCACAGGCGGAAGACCGACCTTTAACTGGCCTTTCGTGCCATGAGCGTTCGTACTCGGGTCAGCGATATGCTTGTAATCCTCTGAGCCTGTAAAGTCATAATTCTCGATGGCTTGGAAAGACTTTTCGACAGATTCCCACTTCCAACTCTCGTCGTCTACCAGGTCACTCCAGCGATTATAGTCCTCACGACTTCCGTACAGATACACAGCGAAATTCAAAATGGAACTTCCACCTAGGCCTTTTCCCCGCGTGTACGGTATTGTTCTACCGTTGAGAGCGGATTCGGGCTCGGAGACATAGCCGTGGTCTAGATCAGGTCGGAGCGCTTGCGCATAGTACCGATGGTAGGGTGCGTGGAGGTAATCACCAGAGGGGCTGCTCCCGGCCTCAAGAAGGAGAACAGATGGTTTGCGCGCGGAGTGGGATAGCCGATGCGCAAGAAGGCAACCTGATGTTCCGCCTAGCACCATATGTGTTAGCATCAATTGAGACGTGTGAAGTGAGATAGAGCTTACCTCCTACGATAATGAAGTCGTACGTTGCTACCATGATTCGAGCTTTGCAGTATCCGATAGGGTCAACTATTGAGTGTGTCGTGACTTCCTAGGTCGGGCGATCACCCTACTTTATATGTATCCTCGCTCTATGCAGTCGCACTGCACCTGAAGTAACGTGCAGCATCAGTAAGACATGCAGGCCGCAGCACACCTCGCTCTGCGTCGGAGAAGCCCATTGCCATACTCTGTACTTGATTGGTCCCCAGGATTTGGAAGAAAGGCAGGTGCGTGGGCATCATACGCATGATCTAACTTGGGTTGGGCATTCTGCTCGCATGTAAGGCAACTCGCCTAGCTGGATTTCAGCTTGCGACTGCGCGATTGCGGGGTATCATGGATGTAAGCAGCAGTGGGTACAACAGTTCATGCAGATCATAGACATAGCTCGAGGCTAGCTGAACAGGTACTAGACTGAACTCCTAAGACCTGCCTCACCACTCTTTGGGTCGGTTGACAGATTTCACGAAATCTGACAAGTGTACAATGGGAATAGCTAATGGCTAAGGACTACCCTAATTCCGCTATCTGATATCATCTCTGGGGATGGCATCGGTCATTCTCATTCGACAACCGAGTGACCTCGTTGTGTGTAATCATTGTTGACATCAAACTTGCGGGAATGCTATTCCTCAGCCAGTCTGGCTTTCTAAAAACCCTTTTTCCGTCAAACGCAACCTGTGGCTCTCCAATCTTGGCCGAGGATGGGAAGCACTGCTCGGCATCGCGTTGGTTGGCTGAGCGCCCTTCGTTGTCGGCGCTTGATCCTCGCCCGGCTGTAGCGAGACTTCGATGATGGAGAGGCGAGAATCTCGCGAAACTGCGTGCAACTAGCGCGCGTAAGTCGGGGAGCGAAGCTGCAACAATGGCAAACGAGATCTGGATCGCGATCAGGATATTGACGGCGCTACCAAAGTATCTCATATCGCCTTCTCGTCGTTTGATGAAAGGAATTTGAAGTAATGCGACGATGCAAACGATGAAACCTAAGCCGAAGACGAGAACAAGGCCAAGCCGTTGCCGGATCCTGAGTTTGGAAAGCTGCCATACGTATGGGATCGGGAGCGCGAAAATCATGCTATCCACAATGCTGTCCCCTATCGCTGCGGAGTAACTGTATAGGGCAGAACTGAAGCACTGGGATCCAATGAAGTCAAGCCAGTTCCTGGTCCATAGCTTGCTGATATCTTCGCACAAGACTATGAGAACCGTCAGGACTTCGATAAAGTGCGCAAGAGCCAGGACGATGAGGACGTAGCAGCACTTTCGGAGCGATGCCATCCCCGGTGGGAAGATTCGGAGGTAGTAGGCCAAGACCGAAAAACGCGTAAACGTAACGGCAAAGATGTACACTACGCGGCGTTCGAAGATGTGCTGTTGCATGTGAGTATGGTGTGCCACAGGTACGATGGAAGTCTGACTTGGTAGAAGGGAACTTCCGACATTCGATCGGGACTGACAAAGTGGTCAGTACGGCCCGCAAAGATCTATGCAGCATGCGCACTCACCCCTTACGATCGTAACCCCAGTTGTCATCTGCACTCATACAAGATATGACGGTGCGTGCGAGAGCTGCGGCCTGATTACGATTAGCTTGAGTAAATTACAAGATTCCTATAGTAGCAGATTGAATTCGGGCTTCACATACCGTGCCCAAGATGATCAAGACATCATCCGGCGCCATTTTCTTCTTGATCGCTAGCCTTGAGTATACTCTCAGGATAACGGTGCTCAAAGCTAGTACCATCAACGGCACCTCCACCGCCAATGCTGTTCTGATGCCTTTGGTCGCATCTCCAGCATTCATTTGGACCATTGGCTGTGCAATTGTGCCGTGTAACCTCTGATCGTCCGGTATTGTGTACATGGCTGGATACATGCAAATCGGTTCCACGGCGAGATAAGGATGACACCAGCTGGTCTGGTCCAGAACATGAAAGCAAAGTAACGTGTCATCGGCAGAAGAGATCAAAATAGAAAATAGAGGAAAGGTGTCCGTGGCGGGGCCACTTGATGCTGATGTTGGTGTTCGTACGATGGTCGCCAAGCCCTGACTTCTCCTCCAGCTGACGTGCCCATTGAAGCTTACTGAGCACTTTGCGTAAGCCGCCCTACCAATGAGGAGTCGGTTTCAGCTGTGGGCGCATACGACTGCTAGGCTGTGATGCTGACACACCTCCAATTATCAAATGATCGACGTTGCGAAGCTGCAGGGCATATCAAGTGCAAATTGGCGGTGCCAAGTGGGCGGAGCGGGATACGAGACGAGTGAAATTGAGTGATGACAGCGTAAAAGCCGACACGTTGGTTGCTAAATAGCGGTAAAGAGGCCGATCGGCGGCAACTGCGCTCAATATACCTCAGAAGACATCGTCAATCTTCTCTGTCTGATCAAAATCGTACGCATTGCCAAATGGCCTATTCAGATAATTTTTGAGCAGTTGCTCACTCGAAACGTACGTGGCCGCGGTCTGCAGACCAGTTTTTTCGGGCGACAAGCGTTCAGCAAGCTCTTCCGCCAGTTCGACTTCCATCGAATTTCGATACCATGGCGCGAAGTGTACTGTGAAAAGAAGTCAGTTGAAAGAACCTCAGACCAGCAAGGAACTTACTCATCGCGAGCATAACTCTCGGATCTTCGCTCAGGTTGGGCTTCCCTCCGTGCCAGAGTCTCAGATCGCGAACGATCATGCTACCTTTCTTTACGACCGGCTGAGTGGGTGGCCGAACCTCGCGACGAGCATCGAGCAAATGCTGCTTGATCCTTCCGCTGGCACGATCGCCATGTTCGCCTTCTTGATCGGCAATAGTGGTGCCTTGGTGTGTACCGAGCCAGATCTCTGTGGAGCCGTTCTCTGGCGTCATGGTCACGAGAGGAACGTTTACCACGAGGGCGAAAGGGATTGAGGGGTGATCAAAATCTGCATCATTGTGGATCGGCTGCGAGGCTGGTGGCGATGACGCAGTTGGTGGTAGTGCGGTGTTGCCAGAAATGAAGCGCAATGAAGGCCTAGGCCCAAGCGTGGTTGAAGTGACTTGCGTCACGATGGGATCTAATCCAAGGTTAGTATGTGTTTAGAGCGTGGCAGGATTTGCTACAATAGACACGTACTGGCGTAGATTTCGTCACTGAACCACTCCTGGGTCATGGGCGGATCTTGTTGAATGTTTCCTTTGTTATAGTTGAAGGGGCTGTCCTTTCTTCCCTGCAATTCGAGTGCATCCTGGACCATCTTCTTGTTCAACCGGTCCAAGACTGCATGGTCAATCATGTCTTCCAACACCACGAGGCCATCGCGAGAGAGCGCTCTGGTAGCGATCTCGAGGTTGCGTTGATTGAGCTCTCCAGCTTTGACTTCAGACGCGGAAGGCACAATGGAAATAGGTGTTGACGAAAGGCGCGGAGACATGGTGGGACGGTGGATGACGCAATGGTCAAGACTGGAATCGTACAAGGAGATGTGTACAACGTGATTGCTTCAAGTGCCACGGTACTAAGCTGAACAGTCTCAGACGTTGTGAGCTTTATATGCTATAACGATCTGGAACATGTAGCGGAACAGACGAAAGCGGTATGGCGAGGCGCTAAACCCAGTACAGGACTGCAGCCGTCTGTGGAGAACCTGGTCACAGGCTGCATGTCGTCGTGAGACGCATGGTGCGGGGAGCTTACTCTATGCTTCGAGTACACCAAGAGAGGGACAAGACGGCACCTCCACTTACGCGGGGAGTAGTCGACGGCGTGTGTTGATGGAGTAGACGATCCGACACTCTTGGTTTGAAGCTGGAAACGTTTTCCATCAACGCGAGGTCACGCGCCGTCGGGGTGTCGGCGGCATTTCGATAGTGTCGTCGGCCAGGGATGGGTGGTCAGCGGAGGCACAGCACAACGTCTTCACCTTGCATCGCTGTGCTCCTGCGTGTTTGCGGATTCAATGTGGAGATCTCGAATGGGGTTTGTATCGAGTGTCGCACTGCGTCAAGACAGGTCCCTCATGTGCGCGTAATTACGTACAGTGCGTGCCGTCCACCGTCTAGGCAGACATTGGGAGCGCATGGAACTATGCAAACAAAGAAGCCCAGGACAGAAGAGGATTTAGGCAGGCACCGTGGCCCAGAGTCGCGAATCACAGCGCTGGCAGGCGGACGGTTGACCGGGATGGAGTGAGGAGAGATGCGGAAAGCGGCATGACGCGAACCAAGGCAAGAAGCCAGGGCCACCATCCCTCCACATTGTTTCCAGCGCCGGGTCCACCAACTCACCAACACACTCTAAACCGCCGCACTGTTTCAGCGAATATAGCAGTTATTGTGTACTTCTTTTCTGTACACGTTTCTCTTGCAGGATTATCGCACACGTCTTCTATACCTTTAATCATCACCACGCGCCTCTACCGCGCTCCTGCGGCCATCGCAGTCCACGGACCTCCATCGAACCACGGATACTATCAGCACCGCCCGTCGATCCGCATAAACAAGGCTCTATACTTCCACCGCCATTGGTAACCGGCAGTCTTCGAGCAACACACCAGCTTGACACTCTACGCATACGGCGCACCCGCCCATCACACGACACATACCACATCTACACACATCGCCATTATGCCGTCGCAACGTCGCATGAGGTTCTTTGGCATCCTGATTGTCATCACAGTCGTCGTGCTGTTCTACATGTCAAGAGGAGCCCACCAAACACAAACATCCGACTTTTACACCAAAACCCAACAAGCCTTACAAGAAAAAGAATACGCAGAAGCGGCGAAGCAGCGCGACGCAGAGAGCGTCGGATCGCGACTCAAAGCCGCCGAAGAACAGGCGAAGAAGAACGCCGAGGACAAGTACACAGATCACAAGGTCAAGGTGGAAGGGCAGGACCAGAAGAGTGTCGCCGGCCGTGTCAAGGTGGACGGCGACAGGGTCCCTGGCGTCGCGCAACAGGGCGGGAAGCCGCGCGATCAAGCAGCCATGATGGAGCATGAGACGCTTGAGGACCACGAAGTCGAGATGGAGCTCAATGCCATCTTGAAGAAGAGTCCAAGTACGTTACTCCTCGCTCATTTGAGCCCTGCGCAGTCACTAACTTATTGTAGTGATCATCTTCTCAAAATCCTACTGCCCCTTCTCAAAGAAAGCGAAACACATCCTGCTCGAGAAGTACAACATCAAGCCCGAACCCTACGTCGTCGAACTCGATAAGAGCCCAATCGGCCAACAACTACAAGCCTTCCTGCATAAGTCGACAGGCCGACGAACAGTGCCTAACATCCTGCTCATGGGTAAGAGCATAGGAGGAGGCGATGACATTGAAGAGCTCGACCAGACGGACACCCTCGTAGCGAAGGTCAAGGAGATTGGCGGCAGCCGCATCACCGAGGTTGAGCATCGCGGCGCCCGTCCGGAGATGCGACGGAAGATGAGGGCGTAGACAACTCTGCGCTGTTTTCTCCTGCTCTCAGTATACTTGCAGGCATTTCTTGCGGTGTCTCTTGGGCCCGACATGCTACCTAGTGCATGTTTTCAGGAAGGTAGAATACCCAGGATATTTGTATGGATGGACATCAGATCTCGATGGTCTGTGTATTGCGATGGATATACCCTTTATAGTTTCAATATCTTGTACCCTTGGTCTCAGTCGCACGTCTTTCCTGTCCCAGTTTCAATTCAATCCTTGCAATCTGTCGTTGCCAACCCGATGAGGGAGGGCCGCCTCTTCCTCGCACAGCGCTCTTTCTCTCACCTTAGACGCTCCTGCCGCTTTGCATACGATAAGCCATGTGCGAAGTAAGAGCCATTCCTCAACAGTCTCTCACCTCATGCACCTTCCATTCTTTCTCAGGCTAAACCAGCAGTCCTTCCACTCTTCCTTGCTTCTTCCACACGAAATCATCGCGACCTTGTCTTCCAATCTGAAGCCACGCTCTGACAACGCAAGTACTAGCTGGTAGCCGTGTCTACGCAAGTTGCTGACATTATCAAGGTCTCTTCAAGATGTGTCTCTACTGGAAGAAGCTGCACACATGTGGCCACCTCTCTGATCGCCCGTACATCGAGATGTGCCGTCCGGGCTTTCTCTCCAACAACGTGTGCCCCGACATTAGCGACGACGACAAGCCTCGCCCATCGCACTTCCCATGTTACCCTTGCATCAAGCTCGAGGCCCGCGCTGAGACTGAAGCCCAAGTCCGGTTCGAGCAGCACGAGTTTGCCAAGGCCTACGAAGCCCGCGAGCGCGCAGTGAGGGAGAAGCAGGCAGCGGAACTGAGGGCCAAGGAGGAGCGCGTCCGACGTGAGGCTCGCGACAAGGCCGCACGGGAGCGAGAAGCGGAACAGCGTGCGAAGCGCGAGAAAGAGGAAGCTGAGCGCAAGGCCAAGAAAGAGGGGGGTGCCTGGATCGAGACGTCGGTTGGAAAGAAGCCAAAAGGCAAGAGGAACGGCGCTGGCAGTGGCCCTGCCAACGCTCCAGTAACACCACTGAACACTGTATCGACCATCAAGATGGCTGCCGCACCCAAGAACATCAAAGAGCTCAATGGAGGCGCTGGTGGTGGTGAGAGGATGAGTCCCAAGAAGGGTCGCGTTGATCCCGGTGGTAGAGCTGGTACTTGGGGCCCTAAGAAGATCTTGAGCAGGCAAGAGAACGTCGCTGAGGTCAACACTTCCGCAAGAAAGTGAGATTGGGGGTGTGCAAGACGAAAGTACGTGGTCTCGACAGCATGCTAGGTGTCAGGTTTGTCATCTGTTGCGTCATGCAACTTGCCAGATCTTAAAAGTTATCGTTTTCTTCACGTTCTTACCTCACCTCATGCTAGGAAAAGGCTCAAAAAGCTCCTCCTAGAAGTATACGTTATCTTAGGGAATGCGTGAGCTTTCACTTTGATACTAGTCTAGACAGTAAAGCACCCGTTCAGGTTTTTCTTGGTAAGAGGTTGCTTCATAACCCTCACCGATTTGTTTGCCAGTCTGATATTTGTTATGAAGGCACTGTGACTTGCCTCTGGGAGAGCAGTCGCATTCGAGGATATTGTCTTGGCACTCACCATGTGCTCGCGTGCTCGTGTGCTCGCGTGTCCTGGGCGGTTTCTCGGTACCGAGTCTAGAACGGCAGTCACCGTGAGGGTGACTGAGGAAGGCACGCCCACGCGGGAACACTTTCGACCACCGATATCGTCCCACACCGACAAAGCTTTTTGTTGTACCTCATCGTCTCGCAGCCTCCAGAATTTTCAACTCGCGACACTCCACAACACCCGCCCGAGAAGCACCTCTCTCACGCTAGTCACTATGACCCCAGAAACAGACTCCAGCAACCCAAAGGCACCCGAATTGGCCGACCGACCATCGTCCATGGCCGCAGCAGCGTTTCTAGGAATTGCATGGTTCATCTGCATAGAGCTTAACATCCGCCTGCTCTATAGGGCAACACGTCGCAGCCTTTACTTCTGGAGCTGCTTGCTCTGCAGTTGGGGGCTGGTAGTCCACGGCATCTCCATCATCTTGGCCAACTTCAACAAGTGGACCTCTTACTCGGCCATCGTCTTCATCTATCTCTCATGGCTCGTCTTCATCGTCGCTCAGTCTTTTGTTCTCTACTCACGCCTCGGCCTCGTGTGGAGAAACACGAAGAAAGATCGCTACATTCTCTACATGATCACTACTAACTCGGTCATCTTTGGCCTTACTACAGTCTTGTTCGGGATGATTGCTGCACGTCTCTCGTCGCAAGCAACTGTACCATACTAATTGATCGCAGCGCCACCCACGCTTCAGCGCACGACTCGCGAAGGCCAACCTTATCTGGGACAAAGTACAAGTCGCCGCTTTCTTCACCCAAGAATCCGTCATCGGATTTCTATATATCTGGCAAACATCGAAGTACTTCCAGAGCCTCGAGCTCCTCGGCAATAGTCGTCGCACCACTCGAGACAATCTCTGCAACCTGATCGCTGTCAACGTCCTCATAATCATGCTCGATGCCAGCGTCCTGGGCTTGGCCTATAGCGGTCGCTTCTTCATGCAGGGCTTCTATAAGGTCGCTGTATACGCTGTTAAGCTGCGGACGGAGTTCACCATCTTGAATCAGCTGAGGCAGGCGCTTGCGGGTGGATCGACAGGTGCGTCGGGATTTGCTGTGCAGACCGACCAGAGACCTATCGTGATGGCTCCTCTGAAGTCAAACGACGTGGTGGAGACGGTTGAATAAAAAGACTGGAAAGGTGGATGGGATGGGCAGAGATACGAGAAAGGTGATTGGATATATAGCATGGGGTCGGAGTTATTCGGCGAGGCCATATGTTTTTCTTCACCTTGCATCGCATGTAGCCTGAATCAATACAGCGACTATGCAACAGGTTTTCGGGTTATGTTACGATAGCCCGACAGCTCTCAGTGTGTTCAGTGCGTTTACAGAATAGATCTAAGTATCTTGAAGTACTACTGGCTGCATCATAACGCTCTCTTCGACCTGCTGACATCTACCTTGAAACCCCCTAGCACATCCGACTCAAACACAATCATGCCTCAATGATACTCTGAGTCGCCTCAGAAGACACTGTATCCTCCTCTTCCAAGCCCGAGCTCTCTTCTTGTAAGGAGAATTCAGGCGGACGTGTCTTCGAGTCCAACTCGGTCCATTCCGCAGCCTCAGTCATCTCTTGCTGGGACAACTCTCCTCGGATATCTGCGACTGCATCTTCTGTATCGACGAGATGCTTGATGTGGAAGATTACCTGGAGTGAGTGGTTTCGATCCCAGTCGCCGTGTAGTCCCTTCTTGGCGTGAACCTTTGCTACTGGTAGCCAGAAGTTCTGCCACCTTTTGGAGCTCATGAAGGCGCAAAGTTTGATAAATTCGAACGCTTCTGGGTCTGAGTGGTAATAGCAAAGACTTTTCAACTCGCCCACATCTTCGGATCTGGCTCTGCTGAAGAATGTTGCTGGTAGGTGCTGACACCAGTGCTGCACGATATTCTCATCTTTGAAGAAATGGTTAAGAGGCCCTAACATCTCTTCGCGGTCGTCTTCCGAAAGATTCAGGGCTTCGACATTGTCACTCGGTAAAGTGCCTGCGAGGTGGGTGTACCAGTGAGTAGCGGCGTACTTCCGAAACGCTTCGGCCGCTTCGGCCGCTTCGGTCAAAGGTTCGCTTTGAGGCTCAGCGAAACTAAGAAAGCATTGCTGTAGTAGGCGAAAATGTAGCTCAGCGCTGTTGAAGACAGGGGCATCTTTCACCCTCCCGTTGAGAGATTTGTCGCGGTGTTGAAGAAAAAGCTCAGTGAGCGATGGGTGCGCAAAAGTAACAGTCGTTGTGGAAGGTGTGCACGTAAGCCCAAAAGCGCGTGCAGGATCGTGGACCTTGAGATGACTGAGAGAGATCCCATCCTCTTGTTCGAGATCAAACAGAGGAGTGAAGTTGTCGCGTGTTCTTTCACCGAGAGAGGTGCCCGTGCGGCCAGTCAGCGAGGTCTCAAATAACATGCGATCGAGACTTGCAAGAGTCAAGGTCCGGCCAGTGTGTTGGTTGTATGTTAGGAGTAGTATGATCCAAGACAGCTCTTCACGCTCTTCTCGTGTAAGTACATTGCTGTAGACCTGCAACAACAATGTGACCAGTTCCATGGGATCTTTTGGCGCAGTCTTCAGGCAAGCAGTGATATTAGATGTAGTGGGTTGCCGTTTGACGATCTCGAACATCAAGTCTGCCCATAGAAACCTGCCCGAGGCCTGGGATAGGACGGTCTCTCCGATAGAGATTGGCCTTGTTTCATCAGCTAGCAACGGAAGGCGATGTACGTCACAGTATGTGATCCATTTTTGTGGGTCTTGTTCCTCGAATTGCACGGTTTTCGAAGGCAACTTCATAGAGAAAGAGTGGCTCATGATTGATGATTTGGTGTAAGCTGATGAGTCGTTATATTGGTGTAGGTAGGTAGGTAAGTATGTTGGTCGTGTATACTGGAATTGTCGAGATGTTGCGTATTTGCGTGTTGGGTGTATTTGTGCGATGTGTTCTAGAGAGCTCGATATTTCGCGGCGCAAGAGTGCTTATGTAGACAGGTAAGCTTGAGGATATTCAATGTCTAGAACGACAGCTACACGTTAGCAACGCGTACATATATCAAAGAAAAGACCGTGAGCAGCGAGCTTTGATCGGGGAATGGAATGGGAAAACCCTCATAAGAGCACTACGGGTTCCACGGAAGCGACATATGAAGCGCTATGCAAACACATATAAACTGTCCTTGAAGCGTGCAGCAGCGATCGCGGATTTCGACAAAAGCTATGAATTCGCAGATTCCGTATAGGTACCGTTTGGTCAGCTGTTCGATCTCGAAGGCTGCTCGGGCAATGATGAACTGTGACAGTGACAACGAGCTCTCTGCTGGGCGTTTGAACGGCAGATGTGAGCCGAGTGCGTCCTGGCGCGCTCGGTGATGAGACAACGCTTAGCCGGAGAGCTAACAATGACCTCCATACGAGTCTTTAGGGGAGTCATTTCGTGTCAGTCGCACTCAAGCTACCTAGATAGTGGTGGATACAATGAGAAAAGTCATCAATCGTGACGTGAGGATGTGTGCAGGTAACCGAGGCGGGCCATGCGATCACTTCAATGTTTCGTGTGGCGTTATCGGGCTCTACACTAAACTACATATGGAAAGGGCAGTCGCCGATAACGAACCTAGGATCTCGAAAAACTGGGGAGGGCGGGTCATGGCAAACAGAGATCTCGGTACCAGCGCCAGTCTTGTGGAAGGCGAGATTGAGATTGGTAGTGGAGCTCCGAGGTGATATTGGAGAGTGGAGAGGAGTTTGCAGCAAGCGTGCCAGAAAATGACGGTGCAGCTGCTCCTCCTGCGTAACCCTCAGCCTCAAGCGGAGCCACTGGTCTAGGCACTGCGTAGTGCATCTCTGTTGGTTTCCGTGCATTTGCCGCCGCTTATGTTCTACAATCGCATCGCGACGGAACGGCGAACCTATCAGACTCTAATCAGCTGAGCTGTTAGTGCATCTTATTAGTCGCTGTCCAAGATTTATCGCTACACGGCCATGCCGAAGGAACAAAACCATGCAAGAACAGGGTCAGGCAAAGTCGCGCGACAAGGCTACTGGCTATGCCGTCATCAGTCGGTGGCACCCAATGAGATCGGATCAGCTAAACCTCTGCCGTCTTGGACATGAGGGCCGTTGAACGGACGAGGCTTGGATCAGCACTTAGATCGTAGCGCCTTCATCGCTTAGATCCGTTTCGCCAGTAGTCGACGGTAGCGTGAAAGGGCTACTCGTTCCCCGCGTACGTATAATACCTTGTCCCACGGTACCGACCCTGTAAATTGCCATTACCACGAGGCGACTTACTCTCACCCAATCTACGCGCAGTCACCTGACAATACCCTGCCCTTGATAGTAGCTTGCCCTCCCGCCGTCAAGATGGATGTCAAGCAGTCGGAGCGCAGCCCTGCGCACCTCAGCGACGAGGAGAAGATACCCGTCGAGCACCCCGAAAATGCGCGCGCTAAAGTCGAAATCCCCATCTACAACGACGTAGAACGCGTCGACCAAACCGACTTGTCTTTCGCTGCAATTCTCAAAGGCACAGCCGCAAACCCGCTCAACACCTTTGAGAAGAAGGCCGCCCTCATCAATGTCGAGCTCGACAAATTTGGAATGGGGAGATACCAGATATGCATCTGGTTCCTCTGTGGCTTTGGATACTTCCTTGATCTCGCCTGGTCACAAGGTGTTGGTTTAATTGCTTCTGCCATCTACCAGGAGGTGAGTTAGGCCAGACAAAGCGGGTACCGTGAACTAAAGCATTTGCAGATGGGAGTTTCGGACGAACACACTGGAGATATATTTGCAATTGCTAACGCAGGACTTGCTGTCGGTGCGCTCGGCTTTGGTCTTGCTGTGGATATCATCGGACGCAAGTGGGCTTTCAACTTGACTTGTCTCATTACCTCCGTATTCGGACTCTTGCTGGTATGTTCATGAAGCCGCAGATCCGATTACCGGTAATTAACAATATGCCAGGCCGCACCCAAGTATAACTACCCTGCGATATGCGCCATCTACTTCCTCGCGTCATTGGGCCTCGGAGGTAACATTCCTATCGATGCGACCATCGCGCTCGAGTTTCTACCTCATAACCGCCGCTTCCTTGTCGCGCTTCTTTCCATGTGGCAGCCCATCGGTGTCGCCATTGCCTCTTGCATTGCCTACGGCACCACCGGCCAAGCTAAATGGCGCTGCGATCCCGATGCGCCGGCTTGTCCAGACGTCGAGCCTGGAGTTGCTTGCTGTACCGTTGACAGTAACATGGGATGGCGTTACACTGTCATAGTGCTTGGCTGTATGACCTTGGCCGTGTTTTTCCTTCGGTACTTTGTCTTCACTTTCCATGAGTCCCCGAAGTTCCTGCTTGCGCGAGGAAAAGAGCAGGAGGCCCTTGACGTCCTTCACAGGATTGCGAAGTTCAACAAGCAGCCAGCTCCAACGTTGACTATGGAGATGTTTGCCGCCATAGATGAGGTATCGTCCAATGCCACGTCAAGCGCACGACTTTCCACTGAGGTACCTCGAACTACCCAGGCTACCCAGGCTACCCCCGAGAAAGGCAATGGGCTTCAGCGCCTCAAGGGAATTTTCACCAAAAAGCGGAATACCAGATCGAGCGCACGAAACTCCCCTCGAAGTACCAAGGATACCACCAAGAAAGTCATCAAAGGATTCGGCAAGGAGCTTACGCGCCTCAAGGGCATTTTCACCAACAAGCTGACCGCCTTCACTTTCGTCTTGCTTGCGCTGGCATACATGGTAAGCAGCTTGACTTTTTATCGTTATGTTTCCTGCTAACAAAAACAGGGAGACTACTGGTCCTTCAACCTGGCGGGTACCTTCCTTCCGCTTATCCTGCTACGCAACAACGTCGATGAAGGCCGAGGAACTGTGAGCGACACCTATGAGCAGTACTTGATTATCTATTTCCCGGGTATCATAGGTGCCATATTGGCTCTTGCATCCATTCAGCTGCCTCTCGTGGGTCGAAAGTGGTCACTGGTCTTTTCTGCCCTTTGCCAGGGTATCTCCATGGCAATGTATACTCAGGTGTCTTCGACCGCTGCTTATGTGGGATTGAACGCATTGGAGTACATTATGCAAACCGTAAGTGACGATTTCCGAACTCATCGTTTCCAATACTGACATGTGTTCAGTATTTCAATGCGGTCTTGTACGCGTCTGCGCCGGAGCTCTTCGACACTGTCTACCGTGGTAGTGTGAGTGGCATGCTTTCTTGTCTCGGTCGTATTGCAGGAATTGTCGCACCCTTTGCGGGTGCTCAGCTTCTGGCCGATCAGAGCTCTGGTATCCTTTGGCTAGGCGCTGGTGGTATTTGGCTATCTGCACTATTGATGTGCTTTTTGCCTGTGGAGATGAAGAACAGGCAGATGTTCTAAGGAAGTGGATCAAAAAGATCCCTTAAAAGTCGGCTTTGATACACGCCATCGACCAAAATTTACTGATACCCCATGCATACGCATAATGCAATACAATTCACAAACGCAACACAAGCTCGGAATCAAACTTGCCGCGCTGTACCCACACCGATCGTGTCGAGCCTCGCTAAACCAGTCGTGTACTAGCGTGAGTTTGATGACGTATCTTGCGCCCCCAACGCTATGATGCCGTCGGCTTTGCCTATCCGCAACACCACCTTTCGTCTTGTGCTTCCATCCTGCATCATGCAGCTTATTGCTTTTCCTGAGCCTGGCGCTCTCAACCCTCCGTGCGGATGAAGATGCACTTTGATGTCTGCTCCGTTCTACTTTATCGTTGTTTCGCATAACGGATACCTTCGTTGGCAACAAAGTCGGACTTCCATGTTATAATCTTGCGGCGCACAACCTTGATCATGAATCTCGCTAGCTGCAATACCGGGATCTCACAAGCCGGCGCGCTTGCCTCGGAGCACAAGAGCAGCTATCAGCGCGGAAGCAAAACCGCGACATGTCGATCCAGTGCGAGCCAAGAAGACCTTACCAAGGGCGGCTGCAACTCGTATCCCATTTCACAAAAGTGTTCCAGTAAATCATCTTCTAGTTGGGAGTATACATAATCTTTAGAACTGTATACTTGTTAAGATCTGATAGTGTGTATGCAGCACAATGCGAGAAGCACAAGTGGAATTCTTATCAACAAGTCTAATGGCTGAAATGCTTCCATACTGGCATTAGTACTCTTGTTGTGCTAAGCTTCTAGGACCACGGACTATTATCTGGCCAGGTTCTTCTTCGAGCAGTTTGATGCCCGTCATATCGTACTCCCCAGCCCTTGAGTCAAAACGCTCGTACCAAAGATGCGCTAACCTGAATGAGTCCAGTTTAACAACATCACTATCCGTGGTTGCGTGGTCTTCGTTTTGGCTCACCAGAAGCTCGTTTCTTAGCATTGAAGAGCCATTTCCAAATCGTGATCTGGTAAACGCTCTAAGACTCCGAAAGGCATCGATGAGATCACGAGTATTCCGTCTGCAGCTCAGGCGCCTTGGGACCTTCCTGAGCACTAACGGGAATACATGCGGGTAAGGCTTCTGGCAAGTGTGTAGTATCGCTATGTATGCAAGGACTTCCTCTTCGACAGAATCTGCCAGGCTCGGTTGCGGAGTAAAGTCTTCAGATGCGTCTTCTTCGGTACTAGGTGCGTCTGGCTTCTCTAGAGACTTGAAAGTCCAGTCTGAATTTGCGTCCCACCGGACGCCGCGGTCCTCATTATCCCAGTCCGACAAGGCATCTTCGTTTTCGGCCAACTTCTCTACCGTTTCGGGCTCGTCTGGTATCAGTCCATCTGGACATTGCTGCAGAAGTCGCCATGGAAGCGCAAAGACCATGTTTGTGCTGAGGCGGTCCCACTGGCCGAATGTAGCGCAGCCTTTTTCGATATCTTTCACAATGACAATGTAGTCCTGGGCTGACATGTTTCGATGGATAATGATAGACAATGTTAACCGGTTGTGCAGATGCGTGATGGTCGAGAGAGCTTCTATGTAATCATGATTTAGCTTGAATAGGCCCACGGGGGTTTGCTAGAATGCGGTATGCACGAACAATGGGTTTTCACTCAGCTTGGAATGATGCTGATGACGATCGTGCGATACTCTCCGATTTGCTCAACATTGTATCGGCACATCTCATTTGGTGACCTCGAAGATCTGCTATCACGTCCGACTCTCAATAACCCTGGTATGAATGGCTTTTGCGGTAAAGATGAGTTCAATGTCGTAGCCTCGCCATAAGAAAGTACTAAGCTTTCATGACTCACATTTGACCGGCTGCACAAGACGTTGCTGCCGCACACTACAATGAGGAAATTGAAAAGATGCACTGCAGTCTACGACAAGACAAAAAATGTGAGATACCAATATTTAAGCGTAGTGTAGACTTCTAGATCCTTGACTTCCATGTCGTTCTCCGCACGAGGCTGATATGTACTTCTTTCCTCGAACAGGATAGAGCCACCAAAATATGTCGAAAAAGTTCGCATTCGTATTACAGGTATATGACGAGTTGTCAAAAAGCTAAAGCTCATGACGGGAATGGAGAGACACCACCCAACCTACCTAGTGTACCTCATGGAATACGCCAATTCTCTCTCAATCAGGATGGGTGAAGCAAGAATCTTCGTGGCTTCGCAGTCTGTAACGTGAAATCTGAATTGGCTTGGTGAATGTGTGCAAAAGCATTGGCTTCCGAACGCACAAACACTCAGTGTAACCTAAATCTACTAGGCTAAGCTTCTCGTACTCACGGCTTTCTTATAGACAAATCACACCCGCTCGACCTATTTCACAGCTATAGGAACACAACTTCAATTCCACGGTCTTATAAGCGCCCGTTCTCACATTATATCACCCTGGAACTGTTCAGGTCAAAGCTGACCAGATGAACACTTATGCGATGCCCAACCTAGAAGCCCCCACTGCGCCTCCATCTCCAGAAATCCCAGCAGCCCGAGTCAAAGATCCACCACTTCCCACCAGACGTCAACCACCACCTGTGCCAAAGAAGGCCATAAAGGCTGATAAACCCAATTGTGGCATCTGCTATCAACGAGTAGAGCTAAAGCCCAAAACCAAAGCAAACATCCATTTCAACAAGTGTTGGGATGGTCTAAGAGAGAAGGCGAAGGAAGCGAAGAGTCAGATTGTGAAGAATTCCCTGCAGGAAAGGGAGATTGGAGACAGCGACGAGATCTCGTTGGAGACGCTGCAAGTCGAGAACAGCGAACTAGATGAAAGAGAGGAATCATCCACACCGATACCATCATTCTCACCAGACCTGGAGAAAACATCCTGTCTTCTTTGCCACAAAGATCTGTGGGGTATGAACGATCTCGACGCCTTCGACCACCGCTTGATCTGCCTTAAAACACTCTCTCCAGCTCGCTGCCCTGTCTGCGAGGTCTCCTTCAGAGGAGTCCCTGAGCCATGCGATGACGTCCTCTCCTGCGAAAGTAGTGGCTGGCCAATTCATACCATAATCTGGCATTTACACGCTTGCCAGAACGACTGTCATACTTGCCCAGAAGCACAGGCCGACTGGACAGCCTTGATTTCTCGGCGGGCTGGTCTTACCGAAGTAGCGCAGAGAGTCTTCTGGAAGAATGTAGGAGAAAGAAAAGATTGGGGTCTGCGCAAACACAGGGACAGCGTGAAGACCAAGAAGAAGTCGGGGTTAGCGCGCGAGGATGGGATATATCGGGCAAAGAGCTCGCCGTTGCGTACTTCGCAGATAATCGTTCCTGCGCGCGCGTCCCATAGTGAGTCGGAGATCGAGGTAACGAGGGTGGAGAAAGCTGTCGTAGCCGAAAAGATCCCTTTCGATCGGTTTATAAGGTCTAGCTCCTCCATAATGAAGCTCCCTCACTCCGCGAAAATGCGCACGGACTACAAACCTGAGGAAGTGCGAACGGAGGTACTGCCTCTCTTCGATTCGAAGACATTCTGGAAACAACTTTCGTACAAAGCGCAGACGCGATTGCTACCCAAGCTTGTACCTAAGCCACTTAACGTTACCTCTCCTACCAAGAAGAAACTACCAGTTGACCGTGCGCTCGCGGTAAAGTTTCCAGTCCCTAGCGACAAAGACAAAGCGAAATTGCAGCTTCGATTGTTGAGCAATCAGCCAGTAGCTCTCGCCCCGATGACTTCCGCGGCGAAATCAGACGCGCTTCTTAAAGCACCTCAGCGGCCCACAATCCCCAAGAACAAGGATGAACTCGACGCCTTCCAAAGGAAGTTGTTAGATCTGTTGAAGCCTTTTGAAGACCAAGAAAGTGTCACGCTCCCTCGGAAAGTGCGCCAGTTCCCAGAGATCACCCTGACTTGTCCAGAAGAAGAACCCGACAGTCCGCCTGCATCGGCTTTATCACAGCCGTCGAGCATCAACAACGCGACTTTCAGTACCGCTACTGCAACTCAAAAGCCCCCCAGAAGCACGTCTTCACTTCCGAACGAAAATTGGCGTAACTCGCCTCCCGGCGCTCAAGAACGGTTCCGTAAATTGATAAAATCGAATAAAGCAAGGCCATACTACGGACGGTCTCCAAGTCCGCGGGCTAAGCCAGATGTACTTCCCAACGGCACAAGGTCATCTCCGCATCCGTGGCCGGCCAGCTTTGGTGAAAGAAGATCCATGACTGCTGTAACTCTACCAGTACATGGTAGGCCAGCAAACCCTCTCCCGGAGAGCTCGCTACAGTGGACGTTTTACAGTTTCCAGGAACTTGACCAAGATTTGGAGGTCGAGACTTATGTGTACGGTCGGCGCGGCGCCATTCCAGTTGCCTTAAAGTCTAATATTCGTACTGTTATCGATCCTGCGCTGTCTGAGGAAGAGCAGATGGCACGGAACCGAAAGTGCTGTAGAGGCATGTTCGGGAGCTTTGCCGAGACGAGCGAGTAGATAAACAGTGTAGAGTGAAACGAAGTTAGAAGACGTTGTAAAGAGTCGGCGCTCGAGGCGAGAGAGATACAAGATTGGGCCGGGTCGCTGTACGAAGCACAAGGATTAGAGTGAATCGTGGATACATGCAGGATAGAAGAATCCTGACTCGTGTATAGACACGTGAAACTATGTATAGTTGAAGAATAACGAGCGTTTCATCATAACATCGTGACAATACTTCTGATAGCGGAAGTGGAAGAAGCTACAGGCATAGCACACCCGCGATGCGGCCTTTGAACCCGGAATCTACACCTTACTCTTCTCATCACCGACAACAAACACCTCGGTAGGCTCCACTTCGATCTCATCCGACGAAAATGTCCTTGAGCGGCGGAAGACAGCTTCCTCGACTGTGTCATATACCATCGTGCCTTTCTTATTGACATCAGCCACATCGCGGAGCTTCCACCCGAACCTCGCGAAGCGCTCGCGAACACGGTCGTTTAGCCCTACGAGTCGGAACTGCGTACTCTTCCCACCATACGCCTCGATATCTGCTTTCAGATCTTTCAAATGTGTAAGACCTGTTGTGTCGATATTATGCATGGCATACATGTCCAGCACGACACTGCGAATCTGAACAGGCTCTTCGAGGATCTCGGCTTTCGTACGGAGACGCAATGCGCGATCTTTGCCAGCGACACTCCAGTTGCGGTTTGCGTGCGCAGCCTCTAGCGTCGCCACATCACCGGAGTTGAATGTCTGGACCGCGTCGAGGCACTGCGTCTTGATGTGGTAGGCGTTGTAGAAGAGCATAGACTGGTGGATGCGAAATACTTGGGTATCGAGAGGAGTGGGATGCATACCGGATTGGCGGCCGTGAGAAGCCACTTCGATAGACGTTATGCGGTGAACGCGGTGGAAGGCCATGAAGAGGAGGTGGTAGACGATGTTGAATCCGACGGCCGTGCCGATCCCAACTTCTGAGGAGACAAAGAGGGTGAGCCAGAAAGCTAGCATGGAGGTAGTAAAGTCGACGAGTGAGGTGCGCCAATATCCGTAAAAGACTTTGAGGGGAACTACAATGTGCCATACTGCCGTAACAATGATAGCTGCCAATGTAGCTTTCGGTATCCAGTATAGTGCTGGCGAAAGCTTGAAGATACTGAGGATGACCACACCACCCGCAATCAAACCATAAGCTGGAGACTTGACACCGGACTCTGAATTGACCGCAGTCCGCGACATAGCACCTCCGACCGCCATGGAGGAGAAGAAAGAATTGAAGAAGTTGGTGAAGCCGAGATAAACTAGCTCTTGTGCAGCGTCGGTAACGTAGCCGTTCTTGCGACCAAAGGCTTTAGCGATAGCTAGATGTTCAAGCGCAGCTGCAATGAAGGGCGCAATGCTTCGGGCGAATACCTTGCCGATAAGTGCCGAGTCTGGCATGCGAGGCGTTGCAATCCCATCAGACTTTACCTTGCTGAGTGCCCAGACAGGATCGTCATTCTCAAGGTCGATGTCCTTGTTCACTGCGTACGAGATACCAGCGAAGAGAATGAGGACTACAGCACTACGCCCAAGTGCTAGCAGCCATATGGCCTTGTTCTTCTTGCCCCAGCGCTGTCCCATCTTCTGCATGAGATAGAGCAGTAGAAGGCCCCCAAGACCCACTCCGCATGTCGGACCGTCGTATTGTGGTATCTTGGCGAAAAGGTCGTGAATGATGTTCGCCGTACCGGAGCCGACAGTGATGCCGAATAGCGAGGGGATTTGGCCGAGCATGATGACGATGGCAGCTGCGGAGATGAAGCCGCTCAGAACAGGCACGGAAATAAACTCTAGCAGAAATCCTAGCTTGAGCAAGCCTAGCGTCATGGAGTAAATGCCGACGGACATAGCAACAGCGGAAGCGATGGCTTGCGGTGAGTATCCGTCTTGGGCAACATCTGCGATTATCTCCGCTGTCAAGAGACCCATGAGCGACGTAGGACCAGTAGACAGATCTGTGCGAGTCTTAGTAAGAAGGGTTGCAGTGAGTAGCACCGACTTACCCTTAGATGTGCCCATGATCAGGTACAGAAAGTTAGGCAGCCAACTCGACATAAGTCCATACTGTCCGGGGATTGTCGCAATCTTCGCGTACGCCAGAGACTGAGGGATGAGCAGAACGCCAACAGTGATACCGGCTAATGTGTCGTTCAGTAGCCATCGCGGGTTGTACTTCGGCAGCCATTGAATGATGGGCGCCTTCTGAAGTAGATATTGGCCTGTCACTGAAGGTGCGGCGCGGACGGCTTTCGTGCCATACCGTATCGTCCGCTGGAGGGTAGTATCAGTGGCTATCGCTTGTCGGCTTCCTTGAGCCTTCTTCCTGAGATACTCCATAGTGGGTTGGCAGATAGCAAGCAAAAACAAAGCGACAAAAGATGTTTTAGAGCTAGCACAGTGCCTCGTTGAGCAGTGGAGGAGACTTATTGAGGGTTACCCTAGAGCACGGCATATCAAAGATATACTCCGCACATCCTGGGCATCGGCGTTATCGACCACAAAGTAGCGTCCTGTCGATGAAACTGGGTCTCGAAGCCACAGCGCTGCGATTGAGCCTACTGGGTGGCCGGTCAGCACACCCACTCTCAACCGCTTACCCGCATGGAAACATGCTGGGAACGTCTAGACGAAATCGCGTCGAGGAACTGCCAATCATGGCAACAAGACGTCAGCATGTCGGTCCCGCGATGTCCAATGAGGAAGTGAACTGCAGCTGCCATGTCTGATACCCTGCTCAAGTCTCGACCTTCCGTCTTGGAGACCGAGGTGTGGGCGAGGAGGAGTGGAGATTTCGACGTAGTTGTGATTCGGCCTTCGTTTCGTAACACACCACTGAGGCGCAAAGACGTAGTCACGCTGTCAACACCAGCAGGGGCCGGTAAGATATTAGACAGGCGCTTGTCACACTGCCGATATGCCTAAGCAGAGGCAACCCAGGTTTGAGTTGCAACTAGCATCGCCCTCGGGCCTTACTCAAGCTTTTTGGAGATAACCGGATCGCGTACATCTGACTTAGTGGATTGGCAACGGCGAACTCAAATGGCGTGGTAGAGGACTCTTTGTTGAGGGACAGAGATGTTTGGACAAAATTACCCCGCAATACACCTCATCAGCACCGAATTAGCTTCCGTCAGCCACCCCGCGCAAGGCTCGTTGAAGCCGCACACTAGCGCCTTGAATTAAGCTTTGAGTCAAGCTCCACGAATAGACGGCCAAGCATCCTTGTCGAGTATCTCCCGGACGGAGCGTGTGCCGTGTCAGTGCAGCCGACGATCGAAAGCACGACGAAACGTTCGTTTACAACGACGACGATCATAACAGGCCCAGTCTGCATAATTCGGTAGTTATCATAGTGACAAGAAGTATGAGACAATTCGTGCATCTCGCAGATGGCATGATATGAGTTGTCTGGGTTTGGGTATGACTAGCAAATGTTACCCCTCAACCGATGGCGGCACACTCTGAACATACTGGAATACGCTGCTTTGCCTAGGCGTTCCTTTGGTGCGCAACGCCAACGCGCCTCAGTGGCGCGCGTGGTTTGTCATCCTCGCGATATGAAAACATGGAGCACTAGTCGGACGTGGCAACGATTTGACAATGGCGTCGGCAATGCGTTCGTCGGAATGACAATCCGTTGTAGTCACATCGAGCATCCGCGTCAAGACCGAGACTCCAGTTTCCGATCTGTAGACAACTCATGAAACTGACACTCGGATAGCCTGATCACGCCAATGCGCTACAGATGTAAGTTCAGTACAGCAGACAGCTCTTGCATATCAACAATATTTCAGGAGCCTGCTCTGGGTACGCGTACATCTGCGCATGCATCCCCGAGCGGGATCAGTTCCCAGAAACGATAGATGCATGCAGTGTGACCGGCGCCCTTTGACCCGATAGGGACAAGCTTCAAGTTCGTGCGAGACGTGTTTCGCTAAGCCGTTTGGGAAGGTAGAGCTCGAGGCACTCTCGCGAAGGCTGTAGAGATGGTGTGTACAGCGATTGCCACGATAATGTTGCATGATGCGCGTTCGCTGCCGAAGATGCGTGCACATGACCACTGATTGCGCATGTTGAAAAAATGTGTGCACAATTCGTCATGACCTGGAAGCGTCAAACGTGAATGATTAGCTCCATGTCTCTACAGCGTTCCCGCATTCGTTGACTTGGCCATTACATGAGGCTGAACCCAGCGCTGAAGTTGGAGCCAAGAGACATTTCGTAGTCCAGCCATTGCGGACTCTGGACTAACCATGCTTCTCATGTGGTCTTAGTAAAAGCTTGAAGAGGCTCCGTTCTGCATCGACTGGGATATGTAGTAGGGCACAAGACATGGTGCCAATGTGTTGGGTGGTGTGGGAGCAAACAGCCATCATGCCAAGTGACGACTCTCAGTCAGCGAATCTCGCATAGAATCCGGACAAGGCCCCTTCGAGCGACTTAGCCCCTCCAATAACGGTGATATATCGGGAAGCCGTGAGAAGTCCAGCGGGCGATATGGCAGCCTGGACCGTGTGCCGACACCAACAGACTGAGTGCAGACGGTGGGATTGGCTGGTGAGGAGGGATGTGTAGCGAAGGGGTTGTGATCAATGGCTGAATATGCAGCAACACTGATTGAATACCAGATATCCAGCTCAAAGAAAGACGCCGAGGGCTTTGACTAGGAGATGAGTGACATCATAAGGAAGTCGTCGTGGAAGGTCCTGCAAAGAACCGGTGGGGTAAAGCTAGAACAGGGCGCTGCAGGAGGCCGTTGCATGCCCCTGTCAAGCATCACGCGAAGGAAGGGCGACCCATGCCTGCCGCCTGACGACACGGGCAGGTGTGATAGCGCGAGGCACAAAGGTGCATCGCTGTGTGAGAGAAGACGCGATCGAGGTGAAAGCAAGCGCGTTGCGAGGAGGATGGCTGGCACGACGCGACGAGGGAGGTGAAGGGTGCCGTGTCGGAGACAAAGACGCAAGCTCCGTCTCCGCGCTAACGCCAAGACGAAATTTATTATCGATACGGCATCATTCCAGCCAGTGCAGAGCAGACGTCCCCGGCGAGAGTTGTATATCGAAGACATTGGAACATGGCGCGCAAGAAGAAGAGCGCGCAGGCTGATGCCGCGCCCAACGGCAGCGCCTCGTCGACGCCGCCGCCCGCCTCCAACGGCGCAGCAACCGCGAAGAAGCCGGCCGGCGAGCCCTCGACGTCTGCCCTCATCATCTGCCGCAACAAGTGAGTTTGGGCGGGTACTGCCGTCGTGATGCACAGAGACAATACCCTAATGGCGGGACTACAGGCATTGGCGCTACATCTCTTCGTTCCACGGCCCCTGGCTGCAGCTGCCCCCCGAGGTCCTCGAGTCGCTCGCCCACAGCAACTACCTCTCCCCGCGCCCCCACCCGATTGACCCCGCCGTCTTCTACGACCTCGTCAAGATCCGCAAGGCCGTAGATGAGGCGACCAACCTGGCTGTGCGCGCCACGTCGGGCCTGACGTCGGCCGCCCTCAGCAACAGCCTCAATGGGAACAACAGCATGCTGGGCAATGCCGCCGCGCTGGGGATAGGCTACGGGGGAGGGGGGACCTCGAAGCTGAGTAGAGAGCGGAAGCATCGCATGCGGGAGCTGGCGACGAGCAAGCTGAGTCAGGCATATCATTTGGACGAGATCGCGGCCAGTGTAGCTACCATGCAGAGCGCAAGCACGCTGGAAGACGTCGCGCACCTGGTGCTTCAGCGCGAGCCCAACAACGTCGACGCCAAGTACGTCCACTTCTTCCACGAGAAGATACCCAGCCGCATGATGGCGCAGTGTACACCTTTGCATACTTTGAATGAAATCATCAGCGAGCGACCCAACGACGGGAGCCCCCTTCGAACGCGCGCATTGACAAGAATCTTCAAGGAGGACTACGTGAACTCGGCCAAGGACCTGAGTGAGGCCCTGAGCACAGCGCGATACATGATGGCACAGCATCGCGCAGGCAACGATCAGCTGGTGCTGGCAAAGACGCTCCAGGAACAATATGGGCGGGATTGGCGGCAGGAAGTCAAGATCCCCGACGAAGACCACCCCAATTCGCTCGAGACACAGCTGCTGTTCCATCGCGCGGGCGTATACTTCACTATAGCATGCGGCCACGTCAATGCTGCCCTCGACGGCCTACAGGCAGCGGAAGAGGCAAAGGCACGGCGCGATGCCCAAATCGCCGAAGGTAAGGAGCCAGATCCAATAACACCAGAAGAAGCGCATAGCAATCATCTTCGCCTCGAAGCCCGCAAGCAGGTCCGCCAGAACGCCAAACGCGCCCTACGAGACTATGTCGCCTTCCTCTCACACTTCGACTACACGCCCGGTATCTCCGCTGAGCTCGCCGAAGAGTTCTTGCGCAGACTGGGCCACTCGGCAAACGGCAGCCCCAACGGGTATTCGAATGATAAGATCAAACCGAATATGAACCGCCTCATCGAGCAGACAAACGGCGCCTCATCGCCCATCTCCGAAGCCCTCGTTCCTCACCGCGGCCCAACCAAATCCTCCTCTGACCGCGCATCGTGGCCCAAACTCCCTCCACCAGAGATCTTCAAGGTCTCCCAGCTCTTCGATGCTGCCCCTCCCGCATCTCTACCCCCGTATCCACCGCCTCGCAACTCGTCCGAGTCCGCAGCCTCCGCAGCAGCCACCGCCTTCGCAGATAGCCACGAGAGTATAACATACCACCCCCTCATTACAGATGCCCTGCACAGTCTCCTCCTCTGCCACGCGCTCATACAAACACCCCCTAAAGAACACCTCCGCCACGCCCACAATGCCGCCCGCCTCGCCCGCGTCTGCGACGGCTACCCCATCTTCCTCGCCGCACGTTCTCCCGCACGCGCAGATTGGATCGAAGTCCTCCGTAGAGCTGGGAACTGGATCGGCCTGTCAACATCCTGGGAGAACCTTTGTCGCCCCGCCCCCCTACCTGGCCATGGAGGCGGCAAGAACGGCTCCACAGACGTAGCAGGAAAGAACGGCATGAACGGATCTGGCGGCGGCGAAACAGAAGCCCAACGACGCGAACGTCAGAAGCACGAAGCCATCCTCGAAGCCCTAGCCGACGAACGCGTCGTCGACGAAGAAAGCTTTCAGCGTGCGGTTCGCGCGCGCGAGCGCCGGAACAGAGAGGACGAGGAGGCCGAGAAAAAAAGGCAGCAATCTCCTCCTAGCGACGCAGATGGGAACCCAATGTCGCCACAACCCACCCCACCTAAGCGCTGGGCGCAAGATGACGGTCGCGAATATCCGATCAGTACGGAACGAGCTGAGGCCATTTCGCGCTGGGTCAGGGATGCACCGCCAGTG